GTTTATTACACTTCTCTGCTGGAGTTAAAAGCACCAAAGCACCTTTGACAACCGATATGCATGCAATGAGGTTGACGGTGCTCAAAGAATGAGAGCATATTCACCATTGAAACTGGCAAACTAACCTCATCACGAGGTAGAATCAGGAAGTCGGATCTTCACGCGTGAGATATGCTAACTATCTGCTTGTACAAGTACCAGTAATCAAGATGGAACTGAGATGGTGGAGACCGAGTCAGGATTTGCCCTCTGTGATTGGTCAGGGTGAGCAAAGTTCGCTATCAACCTGGAGACAGCATCAGGCTTCTCCACATGAGGGATATGACCACACTGTGGTATTTGGCGTAGAATTGCATTTGGAAGTTCACAATGCAATCTCTGACGACATAAAAGTCAATGGACACTTCAGTAACACTCCGTGTACTAAATATATGGATGCTAGGAGCTAACAGGTTTAGTGATCCAAAGTTTGAAAGAAACATACCACTGCAAGCTTGTAATCAATAATCTGATCATCTTCACCCCAAATTATCAGTGTTTTCTGCTTGACCTGTAAAACAGGAGTTCTAGCATGAGAATGCTGTACAATTTTCCATTGTGACAAGACCGAAACCAGTAGACAACATAGAAAATGAAGCTACATTTAGAAATGCCATGTAACAGCAGAATCAGAAGCAAGTTGAATCAATCAGCCTCAAGATCACACTAGTTTACATACCACGTGAATGATTTTAATGACGTCTAAAGCTAATAGGTTTGTAACTCCAAGAGATGTTTGCAGTTAAAACTTATGGCATATCACTTTATGCCATTTCTCTTATTTAAACAAATTTTTCAAAACTAATATCAGTGCCCAGGGGTTACTGTATTTAGACTCCAACAATTGCATGTTAAGATGAAACTAGTAAGATTAAACTCAATATTGCTAGTTTCCATAATCAAATCAATGCCTATTAAATAGAGCAAGATAATGCTGTTTGATACTAGAGTCGATGCCAAAAAAAGTGACAAAAGGTCACAAAAGGCATGTATATTTAGGAAAAACTTGAGAAAATTTAGTAAATCTGCACATACATGTTCTATCTGAGAAATGACATTGTAACCTCCACTGATCATGAAATTCACCAATGCATCCTCCCACCAAGGTAATGAACAATGTAAGCGGCCAATCTGGATAGAAAACCAGATAATCACAAGTGTAAAACAAAGAATAAAAATATGCCAGAAGCACATTTTGAATATCTGATCTCCATGACTTGAAGGTTTTTAAAAAGATCAAAGGGTCAAACTTACATTAGTCCAGTCTATGCAGGTACTAAATGGTAAGCCATTGAAAGCTAATGAAGTTGCATATAAGCGAAGTGGGAGACTTTTCAACAAGTAAACCTGCAGTAGGTTGTTTCTCATTAACAATTAGGCAAAAGTCTCTCTTCCTTACTTGTAGAGTTTGCTAATCAGAAACCAAGTTGTTAATAAACTACACATTATAACATATATGTTATGTTACATCAAACAATCCAATCTGGCGTAGAATGTATCCTTTGTTTAAAGAGGAATAGGAGGTAACTCACCCCAGCATAGGCTACTGCTTTGGGTAAGGTTGCAAGGTTTCCTGTACCTTCCGCGTAAACACTTGCATCAATTAAAACCAGCCTATCAACCTGATAAAGTAAAAGCTACATGAAGTAAGCATAAAATAGTACCTTCTTCATACAAGAAAGTAATCTACAACATCTGAACAGGGATCCTAAGTTACCGAATGAACTTACAGCTTCTGGATATTTAACAGAAAAGTCAATAGCAACAGCAGATCCAAGACTAGGTCCAACAAGTACCATTGGCCTCTTGATGTGGGTAGACCACAGCTGAAAGACAAACGAGACAGAGAATTTTCAAAACATGCAAATTGAAAATTCTTTAAGAAATTTAATACCCTAGTAATTCTTCAACATAGTCTTAAGGCCAGGCCAGGAAGATCTGCCTGGCCCTTATCACACTTCTAACGGTTTCTACAGCTAGACAAAGAAACACTACTTCAGTATTTTTATAGTGTAGAGCTGTGCCAAGTAAGCAAGGATGCCCCTTTTTAATGCTTCATAACTGTAATATCATACCACTGCACAATGCACAATGAGGCATAACTGTGATACGTGACCCTGCATACTAAGTATTATAGTTACACTAGTAGGGAAAAAACTGATTGTGAGATTTACCTTAATTTTGAACTTAGATATGTAACATCACATTTATTAGAATGTGTAATGAAAGTTGAAAGATACTAATTCCAACCTTTCAAGTTTGTATGCACTAGATTAGAACATATATTCCGGAATCAGTACGTACCTGGTAAAGATGATCACGCTTGGAAGCTACATCACACGATGGAAGCCTTCCTTAAATATCACAGGAAACAAAAAATACAAACCATGAGCAAGTCTTTGTTTTTGTTTGCAGAATCTTTTTGAAAAATAAAAAACTGAGAAAAAGCTAGAACAAGATATAACATACCTAAATCAGAGAAACCCCATCCAAGGATATCAATTGCCCATGTCTCCAATCCAGCATCCTCAAGCATCGGAAGAGTGTACCTCCACTCTAAACATGAGCTGAACAATGAGGCATAATGAACAACAGGAGCACAGCAAGAGAAAGTGATCAAAATTAATAGCTTAGCATGAGGCACACCTATCAAATCCATGGAGAAGCACAACTGGATTGGCCTCTGTCTGTTCTTTTGGCTTCACACAACTACTCATGACGCATCCCTTCAATAAGTTTACCTAAAATGAACCAGCAATGAAGCTGGACCATCAAACAAAGGTAGTAACCAGAACTTTATAAAGAAAGAGTTTAATTGATTCGATCCAGTGCGATATATCTAGATATGTGACTTTGTTAGGATTATAAGAACAGAATACATAAAAGAAGAATGATTAAGTTGCATATGATGAGTGGACACCTCTATGACAGCAGGTACACTACTGCAATGGGTGCACTCACACCCGCTCCATTCTGTTCCAAGTGTGTGTGAACAGGGAAATACTTATAAAAGATACATTCATTCTAAGTCCGGGACACATTGTCACAAAGTAGTGTCCAGTAGTAGTCTGCACCCAAAGTCTTAAAATCATGGATCCGCCTCTATAAAATATATTCCCTGCTTCCCAAATATATGATACTCTTTCCATTTTTGGGATGTCCTGAAATGTTTGATACCATGCCACTTCTATACTGCTTTCAAGAAATAAAGTTCATTGAGCAATCTAAATTACAGACTGGGATGTTATCTCTATCAAAACAACTTTTTAACAATTACTGAATTATTTTCGTGCACTACCGCCAAAAAATATTGAAGTCAAATTAGCATCTTCAGATTCTTGGTTCAATTAAATACAGTCATATAAAATGAGCTGGAAAGAAAACAATTTAAGAAGATCAAAAAAGGGAAAATAAGAGTTCTCTTGTTCCTTGTAACCTAATCCATATCAAACATCGACATGCAGAGACATAAAAGTAACCCCTGTAGCTGCAATGAGTACCTGCATCCATGCAAAAATCTTGTACTACTGATTTTAGGTTCTAAAGCACTACTTCCGTTTCAAAAAGTATATGAAAACTTTAATTTCAACTTTACGCCATAAGATTAAATGACATTTTTTGTACATTCAACATATCTTTAGCTTAAAAGCAAAAGATTCAAAAGCATTCTTTACTTTCTTATTTCGAATTTTCTACCTATGTAGTAATATAATATTAGTCCAAAAGAACAAAACTTTACTCATCAGAACAGAACCCATTTCATAAAAAGTAGAGAATTTTCCCCAATTGAATCTCAATTCTTCATGCACTTTGAAATTCTTCTCCTTGCTTCCAACAACCAATGAGAAAACACATAAAACTATCTAGAAATTAACCCCAAAAAAGACAGTAGCAATAGAAAACTTACTGGTATTCTCTCAATTCGTGAAGCCAGCTTTCTAGCATAAGGGTCTTTGATATTCTCGACTTGTTTAGGAAGAAAATCTGGAAATTCACCTGCCCAGATCGTTAAACGCCTCGAATTCGAGCATTTCAAATTGATTCCAGTTAGTAGAAATGCTGGCGGAGGAGCACCACCGGTTCCGGCTGAGAAAAATGTCAGCATATTCTTTGTTTCTCACTCCCTCAGCCGTGCACGGTGGCCACCGGTTTTTCTACTACTCATACTGAGAAGAGAAAGAACACCAAATGGCGCCCATATAATATTTTATCCAATCATGTGGCACCAAGATAACGCAAACATTTATTTACAAAACCAACATAAAAATATTTGTATGAATAAGAAGCTTTAGAATATTTTGATACGTTAGTTATAAACTATAATTAGCTTATAATAAGAGTTCAAAAATTAATTAATTTTTATAAATTGTGAAATTTTCATGTTTATAAATAAAATTTTGAACTTTATCATAAGTTAAATTTTTTGTACCAATTTTCGTGAAGAATCCTCTCCCTTCAATCTTCATTAGTAATAGTATTTAAGTGGTCATGTAGTTTCTTTTTCTTCAATATGGAGTAATATATGTTGCTTTATCGACTTTTTGTCTTGACATTTACTATCATATTTTTCTTACATCTCTCTAAGTAACTTTTCTTTTGAGTTGAGGATCTATCGTAAACAATATCTTTATCTTCATTTGCTTTCTATTTGATACTTCGTTGTCATATTCTCCTAATAACCCTGCTCCATGTAACTGCTCTTTGAGCCGAGGATATATCGGAAACAAACTCTCTACCCACAAAGGTATGACATATAATTGTACAGCTTACCCTCTCCAGACCTCATTGGTGGGATTGTACCGACCGAGTATGTTGTTGTTGTAACTAGTAAATGACATCAAATGAGATTAGCATGACTAACTTTTTATCTCTTTGTACACTACTCTTTTACATGACAAACTTAAAAGAGAACCACATCACAAAAAAATTGAAAAATCATCAGGAAGCATGAACATAGCACAAACAATAGGAAACTAGGCAATCATTAGTGCAGAAAAGCTTATTCTTTTAACAAGATGACAAATACTAGTAATATATAGTATCATTCAACTAACTTTCCATCTAACAATATGCTTCAACTAAGATAATTCAAGATAATATTACACAACAAAAGTTCAACACTGCCCTTTTTTATTTATCATAACTGTGGCGTTTAGGCCAGCTTGTGTGCTCCTCGACTATTATTCCCCCAGCTGCTAGCTCCAACCAGCAAAGGTATTGAGTAACTCAGCCCACTAAGGCTTGTCCAGGCTATGACTCACCGGCCATAAACTCTAGCTCTGAGTATCGAAGTAATACTGAAAGAAATATGTATCAGAATGCTCAAGTATTTAGCTGATTGCTCAAGTGTTCAGTTTGTTACACTATGAACTGGATGCCAAAGCACCTTCGGTATGTTGGTAATATTGCCGACATTGCTTAAAGAATGAAATCACAGTTCATCATTGAAGCTGGCAAACAAACCTCATCACTATGTTGAACCAGGAAGTCAATTTGGATATGCTAAATATTTGCTTGTACAAGTACCAGTAATCATAGGAACAGAGACAGTGGAGACAGAGTCAGGTTTCGCCTTTTGTGATTGATCAGACTGAACAAATTCCGTGATCAACCTGGAGACAACATCAGGCTTCTGCACATGAGGAATATGGCCACACTGGGGTATTTGGCGTAGCGTTGCACTTGGAATTTCACAATGCAATCTCTGAGGACATTAAAGTCAATGGATACTTCAGTTACTCCCTGTACTGCATATTTGGCTGCTAGGAGCTAATAGGTTAGTAATATTTTTCCAAAGTTTGAAAGAAACGTACCACTCCAAGCTTGTAGTCAATAATCTGATCATCTTCGCCCCATATAATTAGTGTTTTGTGCTTGACCTGTATGACGGAACTCCTCACATGAGAATGGTGACGAATTTTTCACAGGGACAAGAATTAGCCTTTCCGGGAAAAGCAATCAATAATTCCTAAGCTACCCACAAAAAATTGGAGATTCATGATAGTACAGAACTAATAAACCAAACTTTAAGCAACACCATGAGCAAAGAATTGATGATTCACCATATCTTAACTCAGGAGCTCCTAGAAACTTGAGCACATGCAAAATTAAACAGGAGATAGCATTTAACCCTGGATTTTTTTCAATTTTATTTTTTCATATCCTCATCAAAGTTGCAGTTTTAGTGAAATTGAAAATGTGCAATGTTGTACTAATGGGAAAAAAATCTGACATGAGTAAGCTTTTGTGTTATGTGATAAGTATATAGGAGACTTTCTTTTTTCCTTTCAGAAATTGACATCATTTGGGACAACCAAAAAACAAAAACTGATATTAATTGGATAGAAAAGAGGAATTATTTGAAGCAGTGGCATGGTTTCCACCTAATAATTGTGGCTGAAGAAAACCCGTGAACTTCACAGTATGCCAATATGCTGGACAGACAAGACCATTGGCATGAGTTTTTGTATATAGACTCCAACATTTCACATTTTTTCTCCAAATCTTTTACAGCAAGAAAATGTTGCTTGTTACCATAGTCATGACAAAAGAAAGTAATAAAGGTGGATGTCTATATAGGAAGCCATTAAGATTATTTAGTAGTAAATTTCCACATACATGCTTTATCTGATCAATGACGTTGTAACCTCCGCTGATCATGAAATTCACTGTTGCATCCTCCCACCAAGGTAATAAACAATGTAAACGACCTATCTGGATAGGAAATCATGTAATCAAAAGGTTTGATAAAACAAGTAATGCAGACACATATTTTAAACATCTGAGCTCCACGACTTTCAGGTTTCTTAAAGATCAGAGTGTCAATACTTACCTTAGTCCAGTCTATACATGTACTTATTGGTAAGCCATTGAAAGCCAATGATGCTGCATATAAACGAAGTGGTATGCTTTTCAACAAGTAGACCTGCAACAGGTTTTTGTCAAAATAGTGAAAACGAAAAGGAATCATAGATGGAAGATACTCGAAGAATGCTGTAAGCATATTTTTAAACATGTTATATCTATGATTTGGATCAGAATATATCCCTTCGTGTAGTAGTCCCCCAAGTATCTAGAACGGGTTCTTTCTTTATTTGGGGTTTTGCAGCACTAAGGGAAAGATCTGACGAACAGAGAGCCTCAGTATGCAAGGGATGCTAATCTTGGATCAATTAATGATTAGGTAAGAAGCTTCTCTCCTTTTTATTTAAAGCTAATCATAAACCAAGTTATTGGTAAAACAACAATCCTTATGATAAAGATGTGCAGTTACATCAAATGGTCAAAGTCGAGTGGAATGCATCTGTTTATTTGAGAGGACTAGGGGAAAACTCACCCCAGCATAAGCTACTGCTTTGGGTAATGTCGCGAGCTTTCCTGTACCTTCCGCATAAACACTTGCATCTATTAAAACAAGCCTTTCCACCTATAAAGTATAAGTACTTCAGAGTTAGCCATAAAATGATTCCTCCTTAACACTAGAAAGTAGAAACTAATCCATAAAATCTGGATAGGGATTCAACAGTCATTGAACATACTTACAGCTTCTGGATAGTGGACAGAGAAGTCAATAGCAACAGCAGATCCAAGACTCGGTCCGACAAGTACCATTGGCCTCTTGATGTAGGTAGACCACAGCTGAGAGAAAAATGAGACTGAAAAATTAGAAAACGAGTTAACTGAAAATTCTTATTGCCCAGATAAACTTAAACGAAGTAAACATTACACCATTATTTCCAAGTTGGGTCTCTGCCTAGTAAGTAAGAGAGCTCCTCTATGATGCTACATAACTGTGATATCATATTATATTACTGAACAAAGTGTAATTGTAGAACCTTACCCTGTATATTAAGTGCTATTTACTTAGCCTACACTACTCAAGCTAATTGAATGCGACTTTTAACCTAATTTTGTACTTATATAGGCTACTTCTTCTCTACCTTCATAAGGTAGAGGTAAGGCTGCGTACACACCACCCTCCTCAAGCACCACTTGTGGGATTACACAGGGTATGTTGTTGTATAAGCTAATTTTACATTTATTAGAATTTTCAATAAAACAGACTAATTCCAGCCTTTCAAGTTTGTATGCTGCACTGGATTAGAACATACACAACAACATACCCAATGTGGTCCCATAATTGGAGTCTGGGGAGGGTGAGGGGCACCACAGACCTCACCCCTACCTTAGTGGGGTAGAGAGGTTGTTTCCAATACTAGATCAGAACATATATTTTATAAAATCAGTAGGTACCTGGTAAAGATGATCACGCTTGGAAGCTACATCACACGATGGAAGCCTTCCTTAAAAGTCACAAGGAAACATAAAGGGATGAAACTATGAGCAAATCTAGAGTCTTTGTTCGCAAAATCTTTTTGAAAAATGAAAAATGAAAATCGAGAAAGAGCTTGAACAAAACAATATACCTAGATCAGAGAAACCCCATCCAAGGATATCAACTGCCCAGGTCTCCAACCCAGCCTCCTCAAGCAATGGAAGTGTGTACCTCCACTCTAAACATGTGCTGAACAACAATGAGGTATAATGAACAGCAGGAACACAGCAAGAGAAAGTGATCAATAGTATTAGGTTAGCATGAGGCATACCTATCAAAACCATGGAGAAGTACAACTGGATTGGCCTCTTTCTGTTCTTTTGGCTTCACACAACTACTCATGACACAACCCTTTGAAAAGTTTACCTAAATGAACCAGAAGAAGCAAAGATATTTAGATATTTCAATACAAAACAGGAGAAGCAAGATATTTAGATCTCTGAGTTTACGATTAAAAGGAAAATACATATTCCATATAAGAAGACTGATTAAATTGTGGATCATGGGCAGACACCTCCATCACAGCAATGGTTACATCCACACCCGCTGCATTCATCTAGGTATTGTGTGTAATATATCCGAAAAGATTCTAACAATGTATCTTCATATTAATTCCTCATGCATTGTCAAACTAGTATGTGCAGTTCTACTCAATACCAGTCTTAAAATCTTGGATGCACCTCTGCTGTATTCCTAAACAACCATGACTAAATAGAAAGTATTCCCTCCTTCCCAATATCCAACACTTCTTCCATACCATATCTGTAAAACTTTCACATGTTTTCCCTTTTCCAATTATATTTGGTTGGTTAAAATTTTAGGAAAATATTTTCTCTACGAAAACAAGTTCCATAAGTGGTTATCCACTCCTCCTTGTTCTCCAACACAACCCCCCATCCATGTCTGACATCCTCAGGCATAGACATCAAAATATCCCATTTGCTAAAGCCACAAAATTATCCAATACACACGCGAGAGGTAGTGAGTAACCCGTGCACACAAGGTGGCACGACCACCACCACCACCACCAACAACAACAAACTCAGTGTAATTCCACAAATGAAGTCCGGAGAGTATAGGATGTAAACAAACATTAATCCTACCTTTACCCCATCCATAAGATCTTGCATGCATGATGCAAGTCTTAATCTACTGATATTAGACCCTAAATTTATTTAAAGAAACGATTTTTTTACCGATCAGCACAAACCCATTTCAACAAAAAGTACAGATTTCACATCCATTGATTCCAATACTTCAAACACTTCGAAAACAACGGAAAATCAGCTTCACACACCAAAAAATACACACAAAAAAACCCACATTTTAAAAAGAGAGTGGAAAAAACGTACTGGTATTCTCTCAATTCGTGAAGCCAACTTTCTAGCATAAGGGTCTTTGATTTTCTCAACTTGTTTAGGAAGAAAATCCGGAAAATCACAGCCAGCCCAGATCCTTAAACGCCTCGAATTCAACCATTTCAAATTGGTTAATGCCGGCGGCGTAGCTCCACCAGCGCCCGCTGAGAAAGATGTTAGCATAGTAGACGCAGAGTACTACTGGATTTTTCTGCTAAAAAATCAACTTTTCCAAGAATATAATATATTCAGCATTTTTTTTATGCATTTCTTGTTTGTTTTTCTTCTGCTTCTGGAAAAAAATGGATACATAGGGAAGAGTTTTATTATGGAATACTTTTTCTTGGCAAACCTGCAAATTTCACTAGTTTAGAGCTTAATTATATATTTTTGTGTGTTTCTGACATTACTATTTGTTCGAGATTTTGATTCTCACATACATGCATTTGAAATATATGAGTCAAAATTATGTGTAATTTGTTTCAAATTCATTTTATCAAAATGTGATTCATATGTATATACACCGCCACTTATATATATATATGTAAGTGTATTTTAATTGAAATTTGGTATAAAATTGTTAATTAGTGAGATAATATATAATTATTTCAAATTATAAGGAAAATTAGTAAATATGTGTATATATATATAAGTGTATTTTAATTGAAATTTGGCATAAAATTATTAATTAGTGAGATAATATGTAATTATTTCAAATTATAAGGAAAATTAGTAAATATGTGTATATATATATAAGTGTATTTTAATTGAAATTTGGCATAAAATTATTAATTAGTGAGATAATATGTAATTATTTCAAATTATAAGGAAAATTAGTAAATATGTGTATATATATATAAGTGTATTTTAATTGAAATTTGGCATAAAATTATTAATTAGTGAGATAATATGTAATTATTTCAAATTATAAGGAAAATTAGTAAATATGTGTATATATATATAAGTGTATTTTAATTGAAATTTGGCATAAAAATTATTAATTAGTGAGATAATATGTAATTATTTCAAATTATAAGGAAAATTAGTAAATATGTGTATATATATATAAGTGTATTTTAATTGAAATTTGGCATAAAATTATTAATTAAGTGAGATAATATGTAATTATTTCAAATTATAAGGAAAATTAGTAAATATGTGTATATATATATAAGTGTATTTTAATTGAAATTTGGCATAAAATTATTAATTAGTGAGATAATATGTAATTATTTCAAATTATAAGGAAAATTAGTAAATATGTGTATATATATATAAGTGTATTTTAATTGAAATTTGGCATAAAAATTATTAATTAGTGAGATAATATGTAATTATTTCAAATTATAAGGAAAATTAGTAAATATGATAGAAATGTTGTGTAATTAGGTAGTTTTTCAGAAGGAAAAAAAAGATTAATAGGAAAGAGTTACTCCCACGTTTTTTTTTTATGTGTTTTGATTTGATACATAATTTAAGAAAGTAAAGAATTATTTGAATCTTATACTCTTATATTAATGATATATCAAATATAGGAGTGTACAATCGATGAAACAAGTTAAGCCTAAGAAAAAACCCAATTTGTGATTTGGTTTGGTTGATTTAGCTTTGAAAAAAAAAAACACATCACAAGTTAACAATCTACGTTATAAAGTTTTTGTTTTGTATTCAGTTTGACGATAGTGTTTAATCCTATAAATTTAGCAAATTAAATGTTAATATTTCAATGAAAGTATTTGTACTTGTGTGAATTTCTCAATCTTTTTGAAAATTTCTATTCAGTTAACATTTTTAAGTTCTTGCTTATCACACAAATAAAAATTATACTTAATATCTTTTTCAATCACTCTATCATTATAAATAAATCTACATCGAAAAACCGAATTAAATTATTCAACTCTTATATATTGATCCAACCCACCCATATAATTAAACTTGACATCCTGAATCCTGATTATTAACCCCCACCCTGAAATGTGTTGTTTCATTTCTTACCTTTCATCCTTTCTGAACATGTTAAACAGCATTCTTGTGAATCAAATTTGAGAATTCTCAATCATATCTAAATGCTTTACGTTTTGACTATTTTACCTTTATTTATATACGTATACAAGAAAAATCAAGCATTGGTTTATGACAACATAATACCGCGAAATTGAGGAGATGGCGGAGACACTGGATATGCTAAATATCTGCTTGTACAAGTACGCGAAATCATCACAGGAACAGAGACGGTAGAGACAGAGTCAAGTTTCGACTTTTGTGATTGATCAGACTGAACAAATTCCGCGATCAACCTGGAGACAACATCAGGCTTCTGAACATGAGGAATGTGGCCACACTTTGGTATTTGGCGTAGAGTCGCATTTGGAAGTTCACAATGCAATCTCTGACCACATAAAAATCAATGGAACACTTCAGTTATTACCGCGTATTTGGCTGTTAGGAGCTAACATGTTAGTAATATTTTCTGAAGTTTGAAAGAAACTTACCACTCCTAGCTTGTAGTCAATAATATGATCGTCTTCGCCTAATATTATCAGTGTTTTGTGCTTTACCTGTATGACAGAACACCAAGCAATGAGAACGTTGAAGAATTTTCTGCAAGGACAACATAGAAAATGGAGCAAAACGTCCACATACATGTTCTATCTGATCAATGACATTGTAGCCTCCGCTGATCATGAAATCCACTGTTGCATCCTCCCACCAAGGTAATAAACAATGTAGACGACCTATCTGGATAAAAAAAAACATGTAATCAAAAGGTCTGATCGATAAGACAAGTAGTACATACAGATACACATTTTAAACATCTGAGCTCCACGACTTTCAGGTTTCTTAACGAAAACTTACATTAGTCCATTCTATAGATGTACTTAACGGTAAGCCGTTGAAAGCCAAGGATGTTGCATATAACCGAATTGGTATGCTTTTCAACAAGTAGACCTGCAACACGTTTTTTTGTCAAGATAGTGAAAACACGAAGAAATTGTAGATGGAAGATACTCGAAGAATGCTTGTGATCATATTTGAAAACATGTTATATCTATGATTCAGATCAGATTATTTCCCTACGAATAGTACATCCTATGTATCCCGTTTTGTAAAGAAGAACTCACCCCTGCATAAGCTACTGTTTTCGGTAAGGTTGCAAGCTTTCCTGTACCTTTCGCATAAACACTTGCATTGATTAAAACCAGCCTATCCACCTATAAAGTAAAAGTACTTCGGAGTAAGAAATTAATCTGTAATATCTCGAAAGGGATTCACAGTTACTGAATGTACTTACAGCTTCAGGATAGTTGACAGAGAAATCAATAGCAACAGCTGATCCAAGGCTCGGTCCGACAAGTACCATTGGCCTCTTGATATAGGTAGACCACAGCTGAAAGAAAAACAAGACTGATAAATTAACAAAATGAGTAAACGGAGAACATACAATTCACAAAATCAGTAGGTATACCTGGTAAAGGTGATCGCGCTTGGAAGCTACATCACACGATGGAAGCCTTTCTTAAAAATCAGAACAAAACGAAAAGAGGTGAAACCATGAGCAAGTCTTCATGAAATGAAAATGAGATCGAGCAAGAACAAGATCGAATACCTAAATCAGAGAAACCCCATCCAAGGATATCAATTGCCCAAGTCTCCAATCCAGCTTCCTCGAGCAATGGAAGCGTATACCTCCATTCTAAACACGTGCTGATCACAATGAGGTATAATGAACAACAACATAGCTAGAAAAAGTGATCAAAGCTAATAGCTTACTATGAAACATACCTATCAAAACCATGAAGAAGCACAACTGGATTAGCCTCTTTCTGTTCTTTTGGCTTCACACAACTACTCATGACACGATCCTTCGATAAGTTTACCTAAATGAACCAACAACAAAGATGGACAATCAAGGCAATAACAAAAACTTTATAAAGGAAGAGAATGATGTGTTCAATACAAAACAAGACAAGCAAGATTTTTAGGATTTCATATAAATTGGGACGGAAGGAGTAAACAATTACTCCCTCTGTCCCAATTTATGTGGTACAATGAATTTCGAGATTCAAACTTCTAAACTTTGACATGTATTCAGACATAGAAGCCTTAAGTTTTCTGATATAAAATTTATATATTAGAAAACCACGTAAAAAGTACTTTAAATCACAATACTTAAAATATTTAAAAAACATAAGTAGAAATTTTGATAAAAAAAAAACTCGGTTGTCCTTTACGCTAAGGGACCAATATATGAAGAAAGTATCAAGTAAGTACACGAAAAAGTGGAAGGGGTTCAACATCTACTATCACTCACAAAAACAGCTTTTAATGGCAATAAATATACACATTAACAAAGAGTACTAAAGTCTTTACTATTGGATCCAATGTCGCTGCAGTTATGGCTTTAGCAACCTTTATAAAAAGTGTTAATTGCCGCTAAAAATATATATTTAGTGACAATTAATCTATTGCCGTTAATTATTTTTCACTAAAATCATTTTTTGGACATGTTGAAACTTTGAGTTATTTACTTATAACACTAAGGATTTTTCATATTCTAGAAATGACCCCAAAACCGCACATTTTTAAGAGAGTGATAAAAACTTACTGGTATTCTCTCAATTCGTGAAGCCATGTTTCTAGCATAAGGATCTTTGATTTTCTCGACTTGCTTAGGAAGAAAATCTGGAAAATCACAGCCAGCCCAGATCGATAAACGCCTCGAATTCAACCATTTCAAATTGGATCCAATTAAAACAAATGCCGGCGGAAGAGCAGAACCGGCACCGGCACCGGCTGACAAAAAAGTTAGCATAGCAATAGCAATAGCAAAAGAAGTGCCAATAATTTATGTAGAAATTGGATTTCATATTAGTCTTATAAGTACTTCGCAGTTTGGAATTTGACATGAGTTTCTCGTTTCAATTTTTGTCCCTAAAAAGTAGGCTTTCTATTTTATGTTTTTTTTTTTTTTTTGGTAACAACTGAAGTTAGGCATATATTCGGCATGGCGGGGTATAGCGTACATACTACTCAATTCGTTTTAATTTGTTTGTCAATTTGACGTTGACATGAAAGTACAAAGTTAACCCCTTATGACTTTGTATTCATTAGTCATTTTTCTTTTTAGTTTTTCATTTAGTGTTTGATTTTATATTGAAGTCTGACTAAATCTATTTAGATAGACTTACATATTTTGAAACCTCTAATTAATGATAAATGAATACTGACCGCAGCATGCATCAGCCTTATTGTAACGGATTAT